CATCCCCTAGTCCAGCAGGGTTACTGCCCAGAGGGAGACCAGCTCAGGTCTGGGCCCGGAGGAGGTGGCCTGGGTCCAGACTAGAGTTGTTATCTGTCTCCTGGACCAGAACATCAGCGCCATGGGGGCAGTGAGCTCACCAGGCTAGGTCGGTATCTCCTGGCACATAGTAGGTACTCAAGGAGTGGTTGTTGAGTGAGTTAATGAACGACATCACTGGTTAACGTTTACCCCGTGAGCCCGGGCACTGTACCTTCTCTCATTCAATCTTATAACTAGGAGGTGGGTTTCACCGTAATACCCATTTCAGAGATGCGGAAACTGAGGCCGGGAGGGGCTACATCGCTCCCCGCTCCCCCAGGTGGTACAGCCATTCAGTGGCAGAGCCACCAAACAGGCAGCTCTTAACCCAGACCCCGTCCTGCTGCCCTGGGAAAGTCATGGCTCCTGAACCTCAGTTTCTCCATCCATTAAATGAGGACAATTCTGCATGCTGTGAGGTGGGATTCTGGGTCACCACAGGAGGCCTGAGAGCTTGGGGAGCCCTGTCCCCAGTCCCCACCCACCCTGGGGCCCCATTACCAGCTGACGAGAAGGGCAGCTATGCAGCTCCAGGTGACACAGCCTCCCCCGGGCGGGGGGCTCTTGGCGCCGGGGGGCTCGGGGGGCCGGCAGCAGCAGACTCGGATGAGGTAGGCAGCAATGAGAATGAGGCTGAGGCCCAGACCCAGGCCGGCCAAGGCCGCCACCAGAAACAGGGCCTGGGGAAGGGGCGACATCAGGCCTCAGAGGGGCTCGGGCTCCTTCCCTGCCTGGCCGGAGGGGGGGCACCCGGGGTCTCGGCGGAGGAGGGAGGCATCCCTGGCAGACTGGGGGCCAAGCCCACCCTGTGGCCGTCAGGTTTGTGGGGAGAGATGGGGGCGGGTGGGGGAGCCTGTTCCTGGAGATGTGTGTGAGGCTGGGGGTGGCAGGCTTTCTCTTCCCTCCTCCCTGCTGGTCCTCCCCACTCACTGCTCACTCTGTGTCCCCTGCTGCTGAGCTCTGCACGCCCACCACAGCGTGAGCTGGTCACCCAGGGACTCATGGGGAGGGGGCGTGACAGCCCCACAGTGTGTGTGAGTGTGTGTGTGTGTGTGTGTGTGTG